TCTTAACACTTGAAACAGCAGGCAAACTTCCTTGGAGAAGGCAACTTTAGGTGAAGTAAAGAAGGGCTGGTAAATTCCTTTGCATCACATGACAGATTATTAAATGCCGTAGAAGCCAATCCATGCTAAATGGCAACATGCTATTGGAGGCATGCTTAACCGTAAGTATAGGCTTCTCCTTCCCTTTCTAAAAAGGATCTTAGACAGTTAAATTCATGTTGTGCAACAACTATATTCCCACCTACAAGAGATCACAGTAGACCTATACAGACTAAACATAAGCCCTAGAGATATAATATGTAAGTCACTTATAAAGTCCTCCCTTTGCATATTACCAATGAGATACACGTTGGGATGGTGTTGCTTTCATCTTTTCTCTGCTTTAGTGATTTCAATAAACTGTGAACATCCATTGCTTCAGGATCAGAACCTCCTACAAACATAGTAGAGAAGACCCGTAAAAAAATGTTAATTCAAATGAATCAAGCACAATATCTCATTTTTTATTTTTGGTTCCAACCTAGATTTCTAGATCCGTTTCATATGATATTTTGCAACAACACTATTCATGTAACTACACTCACCATTTACACTTCTTTCTAGCATTATGCATCCATCTTCACCCAATGTCAAAACCAGAAATTTTAAGTTTGGCAATCTCAGAAGCACAGAAATAAGCGCACTTGGAACAGATGGAGCCTCTGGCCATGCCTGTCTCATTGGAAGTTCGTAACACATGCCACAAAAATCAACTTGTTAACAAATTTCAGCTGCAATGCACACGTATATCATCCTTGTAACTAAAGATTAAACAACCAGGCCAAAACCAAATAACAAAAACACCAACTGAACTAAAAAATAAAACAGATTTAACTGATAATGACGAAATATGTTATAAAGGATATGGGTAGATGATGTCACTTAAAAAAGATTATAGAAGAAGGATCCTCTGGAGGTTGAATAAGAGTTGTAGGGCACTTCCTTTATTATTTTTTTTCCGACAAATGTTTGCAAAACTAAACTTGGTTTCAACATTGATGGGAGTTATACAGCCAGCTATTAGAACAGACATTAAACCCAACACAACTTTGACCAAAGTGAGCAAAATAAAAGAAAAAAGAAAGACAGGAATGGATATTTTAAGCAGAAGCAGCATGGTTCATTGCTAAAACTGACAATGCCAGTTTCAATACAAACTGCCTACATTTTTGTAAAAACCGTTTTATGAGAAAACTCACTAGCCATCAAAATTTCCTTCTCGGAAAGAACTTGAACAAAAAAATGGTAAGAGACAAGAAGCGAAAGAGACAAAATGTTCTATCTAAAAGAAACATTTAGTGATCCATCAAAAAGATCAACTTACCTATGGAAACTTTGCTGAGCATATAGCATAACTAGCAAAGTTCAGAAGATCATCTAAACCTTCCCTTTTCCTTTCTGCATCCACTAATATTGGTATATTCTTGCGAGCTGCCCGTACTGGAAATATCCAAAAAAATGCTATTGACTTGCTATTGGTTGATATTAATCTTGATGAAAAATGTAGAGAAAGGACTTAATATTCTAGCAATTATGGTAAACTGCCAACATCAAATATGCCATAAGTTGAAGCTAAAGCTAATCACAGAAGATAAAATAAGGAAAATCCAATGGACTTGGTCCAATTAGAGGCTTTCAATCAAAATACAAGTTGTGCACAAGCCTGTGAACAGCCTAATAGTTAACAAAAAAAAAAAAAAAACTCTTCACTTTTTGTAGTTTTTCTGCCAAGAACCAGGTTGATAACTGTTACAAATGATAAGCTAAAAATTTAGGATATTTAACATGCATTATTAAATCAGTCCATACTCACAACAGTATAATAAATCTTAGTTTCATCTACCTTGATGCTATAAGCAGAACAAGAAAAGAAACTTTACCTCTTTTGCAATAATTAAAGCAGTTTCATGCAGTCTTCTATCAAAATAGACCATATTTACTCCATTCAATGCAAAAAAATAAACTTGACTGAGAGAGTTCCTCCGGTATCAAGTGTGGATAACCAGGGGTGTGAATACAGGTGCGAGTTTTGCTGAAATTGTTATTCAGTGTCAACCAACAGGATACATGAGTATTCACTTCAATCCATGGTGAAAATTTTTAATCATAATATGCATTTTCACTGAATCGCTCCAGGCAGCCAACATCCTGAATTCTATTTCCAATTTTTTAACATAAGCAATGCTTTTTTCGTTGTTCTTGTTATGAGTGTAAGATCACAGCTTGCCTCTGCACCCAAAGAAAATGTAAATGAATTGAACAGACAATTTTAATTTAAACATTATTGTAAAGAAAGGCTGTAGGATCCGGTCAAAGGTGACTTTTAGCCATCTAAGCCACTCTTCTGAAGACAATTTTCAGTGTTTTAAACCTACTATAGGCAGATCCCTATTGTCTATGTACGTACCCAAAGAGATAAGAAGGAATTTTCAAGGAAAGACACTGCTTACTGAAAGGATAACATATTATCCAATGCTGGGAATAAAGCAATAAGGGGAGGACATCAAAATGTAAACAATATCATAGCCATCTAAGTTTAAGTGCTCACGTTTGGCTGTCAACAATGATACAAGTAAATGGTGAATTACCCTCCTCAGAAACCTGAAAGTGACACAATTAAGTCAGAGAGAGAGTCCAGGTCGTAATGCAACATTTAATAACAGTAAAAGATGGCCCAGTGCACAGGGCTCCTTATGGTATCATCAGAAAAAAGATGTCTCATTTTAATATTTAAGGGGCCAAAAAAAAGGGCATATGAGCTGAGCAAATAACACAGATTTTCTTGGGTCACCAAGAAATAGTTCCATAGATGATGTGATGTATGATAAAACACATTCCTATGCAGGTTGGTCTCTGCTAAATGTTAGTATGACAATCCAAGTTCCTAAATTTCTTTTTTTGCCTTCTAACTGGGGGGGTTCAGGAAAGTAATGATCTACATATTCAAAAGATCTATACATATTATATAAAATCTGGGTAAAGCATAACTTCTAAAGCCAAATATCAAAACATTTAAACGATAGCAATGGAATAAATCTTCGAGGCAAATAACCTTTATACACCAATCAAGATAAAAACAACGAAAATAGTAGGCTAAAGATCTTTCCCAGAAGTATGAACCGTAAATCATCTCAAAGGCTTACAATAAAGAAGGAAGTGTTGACTCCATCAGCTTCAAGCTCCTCCAATATACCCTTGCCTTGAGCATCATTGGCAACCTAATGATTTATATAATGCAATAAAAATGTCATCACAGTCAATAGTCAAGTTTTACGGTGGAGTAGAAGTAAATAGAGAAAGAAAGAAAGTACAAAGATATATAAGACCTTAGAAATTAATCGCGGATTTAATCCCAAACGAGCAGCACATGTTAAGGCATTTCCAGCATTCCCACCACCCTGAACCTAAGAAAACAAATGCAAAACTAATCAATCAATGATATTCAATGCCTAGAAGGAGGGCAAAATTGAAACATTGATCAAACATGAAGTGCATCACTCACATAAAATCCATCAACAAAAACAAAGAAGCAAAAGTCAATTATCAGTAGATTAAGTAAATGAAAGAAGGAAGCCTGGATTTTATAATAAGAACCCTTAGGCTTGTGCTTCTGATTTTGTCATCAGGGTTAGGATAAGAAGCCACAGTGGCCAAGAAATTCACTGACACCGACCCACAACCTAGCTGTTTACAATGTTAAAAACTTTACCAATCAATAGCATGCTAATGCTTAACAAAAAGAGATATAGATGAAAAGTAAAACAAAAAGTACGACGATGCAGTGTTGGGGAAGAGGTGGAAGTGATTCGGATGACATTTGGGCCCTGCAGAATAGACTACTGAGGAAAGAATATAAAATAAAACGAAAATGAAGCAAAAGAGAGGCGAATTAACCTTGTAAAGAGAGATGGAGTGGAGCGAGCGGAAGACGAGTAAGGGACAAGGTTGAAAGCAATGGCATTGGGGAAAGCTGAAAGTGATGAGAGCATTTTTTTTTTATTTTTTTAATCTCTGTCTCTCGAAAAGCTTTTTTTAGTGGTTTAAAGTACACTGTGCAGTTCGGGAGTTTGGGTTGAGTGGCGAGTGCGAGGCTTAGCTAGATGTAAGTTAATACCGTTGAAACAGGGATAGGGAGAGGGGTAGGAGCCAACGATATTCTGCCTGCTGACTCTGGTCTCAGGTGGGTCAATTTTGGGGTATGAGATAAAGATTTACTAGTGAGAGTGAAAATAATAATAAAAATTATTGTAATTGTAATTAAAAAAATTAATATAGTTGTTATTAAAAAATTTTAAACTGAATAAATTTTATTGAAATTAAAATTTAGATTTAATTGATAGTGCAATAAGTTCAATTATATTGTCTTAAAAGTGTGATGAAATCTAAATGGATATTTAGTTATATTAAATTATTTAAAATATTATTTATATTTTAAATTGATCAATATTTATTTAATAATAAAAATTTATCAATATTTTTATTAAAAATATTTATTTAATAAATATATCAAATTTTATTAAAATTTTTTGAAAATTTGTACACTTGATCGTGGAGTTCTTTATTAAAAATAGTAAATAAAAATTTTAATAATAAATTTAAATTGATAAATTAATAAAATTTAATGTAAAAATTAATAATATATAAAAAAATTTAATTTTTTAATTTAAATTTAATCAATACTTATTTAATGATAAAAAAAATTATCAATATTTTTATTAAAAGTATCTATTTAATAAATATATCAAATTTTATTAATTTTTTTTAAATTTATACATTTGATTTATATAATGAAAATTTTTAATTTATCAATTTTAATTTTAATTTATTTATTTTTAATAAAAAAAATTCATAAATTTCAATTATAAAATTTTATATAAGTTTTTAAATTCAGAAAATGGTGGGTTCAACTTTAGTAGAAGGAAAGGTCGAGTGTCGAGCCTTGATTCGGCATCATCGAAGATATGTATGAGAAGCTCGCCTCAGCCAAGACAAATACTATAATTTTTGGATTAATTTTTGGGTTTTTCGGTATTTTTCCATAGCCTTATACTACATTATTCTTTCATCAAAACATAGTATTCCTCTTTCACAAATTTCATATCTCTACTGCTAAAGCTATTTTTGGGGTAAATTACAGGGTTAGTTCTCGTCTTTGTGAATTTTTTTATTTTAATCACTCAACCATAAAATTTATGTTTTAATCACTTAAGATTTGAGTAAATATATATATATTTTTGCCACGGTTGCTTCATATGACCTGTCATTGTAAAAAAATGCATAATATTAATATACAAACTTCATAAAATAAAAACCATTTTGTTTTTTTTATAATTCGTATTTTATTTTTAATATATTTAGGAGTATTTTAATTTATATTTTTGGGTATTTAAAAAATTAATCTAATCCGATCTAGTGTTTATTCACACTTTTATATTTGTTATTTCTTGTAGTATTTTATTTATCATGAAATAGTAAACATTTTTTTTATAAGTATAATTTATTTTGCAACTATTTTTCTTATTTAAAATATGTTTACTTATTGTTATAAATATTTAATTCAATTTATCCTATTGTTTGATAAGATTATCAAAATTAGTAATTTTTGTTAAAAAAAATATAGATTAACGGTATTCATAAATTCTAATTGAGTTAAATTTGATTAATATTTTTAAAAATTTGTTAAAATTTCCTCCTTTTAACTTAACTTATTTTAAGTTTATTTAAATTACATTTATTATTAAAATATTTTATTATTTATAAATATATTTTAAAATTAAAATTAAATAAAAATAATTATTTAATAATAAATTAATTTTGTGAACCAAATCGGGCTTGACTTTGAAAAATTTTACTCAGGATTGGGCCTGGACCGGACTAAGCCCGTTGGTCTAACAGGCCACCGATCCCTGACAGGTCTTCATCAACCATGCGCCTATGATGTAAACGCTGAGGCGTGACCGGATAAGAAGTTGACCCCTGTCAACTTTAGAAACCACTGCCCGCGAAAAGAAGATTGTCGGTGAAATAGAGGGAAAAAAAGGAGGTGAAATTTCAAACATTTTACCTCCGATGGACTCATTTTTTCACCTCTCGCTTTTCCGTCTTGAGCTTTCTGTTTCCATCTTTCTTTTCGGTTTTGTTACTGTATAAATCTAAGTTATTCAAGTTCAATTTTCATAAAATTCGAATTTAATTTAATTATTATTGAATTAAATTTAAATAATTTAATTTATTGAAAGAATTAATTTTAAATATTTTAATATTTAATTAAACTACACTGAGAGTTTAATCACTTTTTTAAATTTTAACATATTTTAATTAAAATTATTATTTTATATGAATATATATATATATATATATGATATTTATATAAATAAAATTTGAGTTTAAACATATAATTAAATTTAAAATTAAATATAACAATTAAATATATTTTATTAAATTAATTAATATTTAATTCCTACCTCAAATCGATATGGAGCTTAAAAATTAAAATTCCATCCAACTGGAATCGAGATTCGAGCAGAGCTCAATTACATCCCTCGAACTCACCATTTCCTAGAAATAACAGAGGCATCGAACGGAAGAAAACAGAGATTATTGCCTTGTTTCTATCGAAATCTCGAAAGAGAAACGGAGAAACGAGAATTCTTGTCCCAATCCGATGTCTAAACACTAAATGCACGATCAAGCCTCCCTCTAATCTAAATCCTCTAGTAGTTGCCTTCGCAGGTCGGAATTGAACTGAATTTAGATTTTTAAACTTTATCTTTTCATTTCTTCTCCCGTTTCTTTTGTTTTTGGATCACTAAGAAACGGAATTGTTGATTTAGCGAATCGCTTTGCAGATTTAGATGTTTTAAGTTTATAGAATTCTAGATTTTGGTTTTAGCTGAATCTTATTCCGAATCTTGAAGTGATCTAATTATGCATCATTTACTTTGTAGATTTATTATTAGTTTAGCAGCAATAGTTTTGTTAGTCTGTTAAATGATTATGAAATCTAATTACATTGAGCAAGTTCTTGTTGAAATGTTATAATTTTCTCATCAGTATACTTTATTTTTTGATGCTCAATTCTTTTTTTCATGTATTTTAAAATACAGTGCTCAGCTGATAGGGTAACCTTTGTTTGAAGTTGATAATCAAGTGTCATTGAATCGGAATTTGAAGTTAGTGTCACGTTTGGAAATTCTTTAATTTATCTACATTTTTCACTTGTCACATTTCATCTCTTTCAATTTTATGTGGATGTTGCTAAGCTGAATTCTTGTTTTCGAATATTGTCTTCATGGAACTATGGTTTGTTGAGAACTTAAGACTGGGTTTTTTGAACCTCACAACTGTAATCATGAAGCTTATTAGTATTTTAGGTTGTTGTTTATTTGATTATCTTTCTTACAATTCAGTTTTATTTCACTTTTTTCCTTTTCAGCAGTAAAAATGTCCTACATCTGTTGGGGAAGAGAGAAGTCACTCCCAGAACAAAATATGTGCCAAAAGAGCAGTGGAGAGAAGCACCTAAACAGAATGCTGATCCCTCATCTGCACCGAATAGTGAACCCATTAGAGATGCCAGACGTGGCCTTGTGTCATGGTATTTTAACTCTTCAATTGTGCTTGTTTTATTTTTATTTTTCATATCTTGTTAGAGGTTAGCATGTCTTTCTGAAAATCAGTTTTCTGTTTTATTTTATCCAGATGAGCTATTGAAAATAATTTTGTTACTATATTTTCCTTTACAAGTCTGAGGAAGAGTCTTTGCAGCATTTACCAGGCAAGTATTGTCTTCTGGTGCCTCCTCCAAGGTCAAAGATTGCAGCAGCATTTAGTCTTGATGGAAGTACACTTGCTTCAACCCAGTAAGTTGTACTTTGTGAATGTTTTTGTTTTCTTCACCAGAGTTAGTGGCTTGCCTGTTTTAGATATTTACGTGGTTTTGTTACTTGTAGTGGTGATCACACTGTGAAGATTATTGATTATTAAATGGTATAGGGATGAGCATTTGGTCGGCTTGGTCTTGAAAATTCAAAAACCAGACTAATCAAATTCACTGAAAAAACTAATCGAACTAATTAAAAATAACCAAAACAGAACTACACCAGTTGATTTAGTCAGTTTTGATCAATTTTTATTATTTTCAGCATTTTTTTTATCAATTTTCAACAATTTCTAGAAAATCAAAGTTGTATACACTCATTTGTATCCAGGCCCATTTGAAGTTCGGGCCCGATTGGGCTCACATGAGGTTCGGGCCCAATTGGTCCCATTGAGATCCAGGTCAAATTAGGTCCATCAGTGTTCGGGCCTAGTTAAGCCATTTGGGCTTAAAGGGATAGCTTCTTCTTTTTTATTATTATTATTTTTCTTTTTCTTTTGTTTTTTTCTCCTATTTCCTTTTTGATTCCACCTGCACGAGAAAATCAGGATTAGAATCCTCTTGGTCAACATAGAATTAAATTAATATGACTACTAAAATTTTGGACCTAAAATCTTGTCTGGACAGAATGCAATCCCAGAAATCAAGCCTGGGATTGATTCTGTCCGTTTCTTGAATTGATCATAGGTTGTTTATAAATTAGACCTATTCTACAGAGCAAGAACACAAAGAACACAAAAAAAAAACACAGAGAAAATTGTTGGGGAAAATTCTGAGAAAAGTTTAGTAGTAAGGGTTTTTGGGATTCAAAAATTGGGATTTTGGATTTGATTCAAAGTTTTTGTGGGATTTTAGGTTTTTGAAAGTGATTTTAAAGTTGTAAGAGGTTCAGGGAGGGTTTAGGATAATCTAGGAATTTTTTTTGGATTTTTTTTGAATTTTTTTGGGTTTTATGAAGAACATTGAATTTTTCGGTGAAATTTTTTGACGAAGGTTGAAGTTTCCGACGAGATTTTCAGAATCTAGTTTGTTTTTCAAAAATTGGTGGGTTTTTCAGTTTCTGGTTGAATTTTTAGGTGAGATTCCCATAATTTGATGAGATTTTTAGTTTTCGGTTGAATTTATAGGTGGGTTTTCTAGATAGAGGTCAGATGTTTTTTGGGTTAGAGAGAGAGAGGCTTTGGGATTTTTGAAAAAAAATGCTAAATGGTGCCTTATATACTGCCTTTACACGACGTTGTTTTGGTAAGCCAAGATTTGTGCGTCGACCCGAACACCCGCGTCCTAACCCGATCTAATCACAAGTTTTTCTTTTTTTTTTTCTTTTTCTATTTTATTTTATTTTTTGATTTTGATTTATTTTATTTTATTTTAACCTTTATTTATTTTTTTCTTTCTAGTTTTATTTTTTATTTTTAAAAAGATGAAGATTATTTCTATTATTTTTTTTAGAAAAAAGGTAAAAGAAAAAATGATGATGCTGTTTAAAATTTTTTTTTTCTAATAACAAAAAAAATCAATAATTCATTATTAAATTATTTGATAAATTATAAAAATAAGCAAGGCTTGGATAATTCGAAATCAAATTGGTATCATCTATTTGATGGGCGTTTTGGGGGTGCTACAACTTTTTTCATGTGCAATCGACTTCCGAACCTAATCTTTATTTTACAGATTAGCTTCAATCAGGTGGCCAATCACATATAGCCAAAAAAGATTGGTGGCGACACCTTTTATTTCTAGTCTAACGGTAGGTTTATAGATCTACACGTTATGACAGTTTGACGACTCCACCAAGGATATATTAGAGAGTCAAGCCAGTAAAGAATTTTTTATCATTCAGGCATTGTCTAACAAATTTGAAATTACCTTTTTTCATTGCTTATATCTGCTTTATTATTGTTTATTTGTCTACCCTATTATTCATTAATTATATTTGCTTAAATATCTGCTTATTATATATGTCATTCATTTGCATGTACATAACATAAGCCCTCCACTCGGGCTCTATCTTTAGGAGGGACTGAAGTACCTATGCCCTCGTGAGATTTCATGTCTCCGCATTAGCTTGCGAAATACTCTAACTCAAATTGAACCTTTTCCACTTAAAGCCTATGATGGGTGAGGATTGGGGTACCTTACTAGTCTGTAATAGATCATGATATAGGGAACAATTTAAGAACTTTTTAGAAATGACCCAAACCACATATAGTTGACTTTAGAAGTCCAACCATAGATAGAGCCTTATTTTTTCACCTTCTGTAGATGATTCAAAATTTTAGGTCATATTGTTATTTTAACTGTTATATTTTCTCTATGTTTCATTGAAATGACTAACTAATTTCTTTATCTTTTTTTATTTTTTTTTGCACACATTCATAAACATGTTCATAGATTGCATAGTATTCTTGCCCTAAAATTATTTTAATAAAAGTCTTCATGGATTCCATAAAACGTCAGGTTTGCGCATCATATATGCTGTCCAAAATGTGACTCTCCCATAAAAGTGAGAATGGAATCAGAAAAGAGGCAGCTAGAAGAAGGAGATTGTTTGCCACCTGGTCACGTCTCTACACTATCAGGAGAAGTCTGCCTACTCTTCAAACATAATGACTTGAAAAGCTTATCAAACATATGGAATGGTATGACCCCTTCAAGGCATGAGGCTTTTTGTGAAAAGTTTGGATATATTGCATATCTTTTGTCAGTAGAGGTTGACTACTTACTTATCAGAGTAATGTATAGTTTTGGGATCCTTCCTACTGATGTTTCATCTTTAATGAGGTTGATCTAGTGCCAATAATTAAGGAATACTCAACTTTGGTGAGTATGCATCTATTGTATCCTGATAGAATATACATGAAGAAACATAAATTAGAAAGTCATAAAAAGCTAGGCCAGATGCTAGGAGTGGGAAATGAGACTATAGATTCATACATTCGAGAGAAAATAGATCATAAGGGTATTCCATGAGAGATTTTCTGGGATTTCATTATTAAGCATCCAAATGATGATCAGGGAATGAATGCATTTGCTCTAGCCATATATGGGTTCGTCATTTTTCTCAAGGTCTTGGGACATATTGAGATAAAAATGGTGGATCTATTTTAAGCAGGTTGAAAGAGGTTGTAATTTTTCACCAGTTATCTTGACAGAAACTATCAGATCTTTAAATTTTTATAGGTACATGGATAAAACATGTTTCATGGGCTGTTTACCTTTATTGTATGTATGGATGAAAAGCCATTTTAAATGTAAGAAAAATGCTTTTACCAAACTTTATTTCTACACTCAGAGTTTGATTAGGAAATTTTGTCAGAGTTCTTGGTCAGAGGCAAAAACTCAAAAAAAATGGAAATGTCTGCTACAAGGGTTCACAGCTAGTTAGGTAAAATGGTTAGCTCCATGGTTGGACAGGGAACTTATGTTATATCAATGTGGAGATGAGACAGGGTTCCCATTTTTAGGCCTATGGGGGTTAACAAGTTATGCCCCATTAATGATAAGGAGGTAACATGGAGCTGAATAGTTTATTCCTATGATCTGCAAGCTCGATCAGTTTGATTGCTCATATGGGGAGCCCGAAACTTTTCAAAAGATTGATAACATGATTAAAGCTTGAAAAAAGCCCAAAAGAGTAAGCTCAGGGCCAATGGCAAAATAAAGTAGAAAAACTAGAAATCCATGTCCATAAAATTTCCAAAGAATATAGCAAGGCTCAGAAAGTTGTTAGAGAATGGGATGATGCCCTAAAAGAGCTGAAGGAGTTACAACAGGAGCATAAGAGGTTGCACATATAGGTACAAGTCAAAGAAATAAACAATACAAAGTTGGTTCATGAAAATGAAGAGTTGAAAGAAGAGCGTGACCATATAGAAAATGCTTTCATAGAGGTCGAACAGGAGAACCAATGGCTTTCAGACCACATTCTGACTCTGACATCAAAGTTGAGAAATAAAAAAATTATGTCAGGTTCCTTATAGAAAGGCATAAAAAATTATCTTATTAGGTGTGGTGCAACAAAAGAGAAGGGTTAGAAAGACAGAGATACATAAAACACTTCATTACTCAGATAGGCAAGGTTATGATCCAAGCAGACGAAATGACAGAAAAGGCTGAGGCACTGAGAGCTTTGATTACATCAGCAGGGGAGCATGGTTGAACTTCATTGAAAAAGCTAATGACATGTATAAGCAAGTTAGACGTTTCTATAGAGAAACAGTATTGGGTTTGATGTAAAATAGAATCATGAGGAATAAATGAAAAAATTTTTTTGTTGGATTTCTTTTAAGGGGCAAATATTTTCTTTTCATTTCCATGCATTTACATTACATTCACTCATGCATTCATTATCATTACATTATCATTGAATCTTTAATTATGGTACTAAGGTGCAATAATAACTACACATCAATACAATATTCAGACTCGAGCTAGAATGATGGAACATGACAATGCTAGTCATTTTGAAAAGATAGAAAAAGCCCAAGAGGCATTAAAAAAAAGCTGAGCCAAATTCTAGAGGCCCTGAAAAAGATAAATAGAAAAAAATTAACGGAAGAAGACACTTCACAAGAGGCTACTAATTCGACATATCTTTCAGGCTTCGACCTACCACAAAATCCAATCGCACCATTCTTTCAACCTCAACAGGTAGTTTTTCCAAAATACACCTACCCAGGAATAACCTATGCACCAGGTTATAAGCTAGGTCATGAGGATGTCTAAAGTTATAATAATCTTGTCTTTGCTAAAAAGTAACTAAGCCTATTCAACTCCCTACTGTAGATGAAGTAAAAGAGAAAGAAAAGTCACAAGCAGCTATGCCTTTGAAAAATTTTAAAACTAATCAGGTTATGAACAAGTTTAAAAAAAGATTAAAGGCTGTAAAAAGAATAGATTTCTATTGATCTATGAATGCAGTATGACTCTGCCTAGTACCAGATGTGGTGACGCTATCAAAATTTAAAGTACCAGAGTTTG